GTTGTTCTGCAGGTTCCACCTGATTTTCACCTCATTCATGGCATTGACATAGTGAGCCATGAACTCCTTCTCGATTTTTTTGAGCAGTCTCAGGACCCAGACTGGGTCTGGATCCACTGAGTTTTGCTGGACAAGGGATGTCCCCACACTGGTGGATGCACTGACTTTGGGCTCTGCGACACTTGGTGACTCTTTTTCAAGATGCTCTTCCAAACCAGCTTTAATCTCCATCTCACCATCAGCACCTTTGACATATGTATCATCGATGGTGGCTTCAGGATTTTCTTGTGGGAGTTCATCATTCACAGCTGCAGCTTTTTCTTGTTCTTCAGTTTCAGCTAATTTGCTGGTTTCTTCATTTTCATTTTCTCCCCCTTCCTCCTGACCGTGTTCACAGGTGTGGCACTGATCCTCCTCCTTCTCTTCTTCCTCCTGTATTGGAGATTCCTCGTTAGCAGACTGTGCTTTTTCCTCTCTGTGTGATTCTGAGCAGGCTGTTGAGGGGCGGGATGGCTGCCCTTCCTCTTTACTTTGCTCCTCAGCCTCAGTCACTTCAGTTCCATTCTCTGTATTTTCCTCTTCAGCTGATTTGAATTCCACAGTTTTCTGTGCCGCTAAAGTGGCACCAGCTGCACATTCTTCTCCTGAGCCACCAGAACCACTGCAGACATCAACCCCGGAGGAGGACATGCGAGTGAAGGCGTGATCCATGGATTTGGGGCCTTTAAACCCAAGGTCTGGCTTTGCCTGCTCGCTGGCCCCTTGAGCGGAGCTTGGACCGCTCCTCTCAGCTGTGCATCCCAACCACAGGGCTTGAAAAATATTCAGCAGCTCCGTATACCTTGACTTATTCAAAGCTTTTGAGGTGTCTGATGGGTCTTCTGACTCTTCATCAAGGAGCTGGAGACTGGCAAGACAAGTAATCAAAACGTTGGCGGAGTTGCTGAGTTTTCTCCCCATGGTGGGGGACACTTCGGGCAAACTGTTCGATCGGTCAAATTTGGTCTCATGTTTTGAACTGAGCAAGGCCTTCATGATCTGGACAGAAGTCTGGACAGAGCTGGGCAGGTCCCTCTTGTTATTTTGGCTGGAGTTAACTGACTGGTTGCTTTCTGCCTGCTCAGCTTTGGCAGTCTCAGATGCCACCTCACAGACTTCTTCCTGGTTCACACATTCTTCAACCTCTTCCTTAATAGCTGTGTCTCCTGCTGTCTCTTCTTCCACTTCAACCTTTGCTTCCTTTTCAGCCTCCTCCTCCTCCTCCTCCTTCTTTCCCTCAGCTTTTTCTTCCTCTGGGACTTCCTCAGCCTGTGTGCAGTGTGATATCTCGGTAGCTGTCTCTGTACCTTCCTCTTCCACATCGTCCTCCATTTCATATTTCACAAGCAACGTTTCTGAAGGGATTTTTCTGAGCCACTCTTGCACAACTTCCTCTGGAGATGCGTTTGGCAGAGCAGATGGCATCAAATCACTCCCTTCCTCCTGCACACCCGTGCCCTCTGATGCTTCCTCCGCTTTTTTGCTCTGAGAATCATCGGTCTCTTTATTATTCTGATCGTTTGCTTCGGGCGCTGCTGACTTAGACCCATAGGACGTCTCTTTGGAGGAATCTACAATTTCTTTCTGCTCTTTCCCCGTGCTCAGCAGCGACCTGGAGCCTAAGCTGCTAACAGAGGAGTTCTTCAGCACGGCTGGACGCACGTTTTTCCTCTTTGGCTTTCCTTTGGGTGGGGCGGGGCAGTGCAGGCTGCGCACTGACATGGTCTCAGACAGCGACGCCCGGCTGGAGTTCGACATCTTCACGTGAAGATTGTTGTTTTTTGTCCGCCTTGACTTCGAAGATTGAGACATGTTGGACTGTGAGCACCTCTCATCCGTCTCCTGGGATATCTGGGCCAACAAGAATTTTTCTTTCGCTTCTGATTTTGAAGAGACTCTTGAGGAGACACTTGTGGGCTTTCCATTCTGAATCTCACTCTCAGTTGCGTGGTCAGCTTTGGAACATACACTCCCACTCATACTTCCCTGTTTGGAAGAAGAGGGCTCTGAACTAACCTTGGCATGACCCTCTCCAGTTTTTCCACTAGGACTTGATAATTTTGAGCAGACAGATGATGGTTTACTACTTTCTTCTCTATGGCTTCTCTTCTTTGAGCCTTTTGAGGATTCACTGTAGTGACTGGTGTTACTTTTAGAGCTTTTCTCCTCAGCAGGACCTGCAGTTGCTTCTGCTGCACTAGTAGATGAAACGTTTGACTGAAGAGATCCTGCCCTCTGAGACATGGAGTTTCCAACAGATTTTTTCTTGGTTTCACATGAGCTTTTGGAGTAACTGGATGCTTTGCTGCACGATCTCGCATCATCTGCATGTAGGGAATTCTTCTTTTTATTCGGAGAGGATCCAAGTGAAGACACAGACACTTCAGACTGTGCATCCAAATGAACGTGGCTGCGTTTGCTCTTTTTGGAGCCCCTGGAAGAGCAAGAGATGCTGCATGGAACGTTCTCATCACTGCCACTTTTCTTGCTGTTCCTGTCAGTAGCTCTGGAGGAGTGGCTTCCCTGTGTGGAGCATCGTTCCCCTTCACAGCTTTCGCCCCTAATTGATTGGCTGGGCTTTGTTTTTGCTGACACTGAGCTTACTTCTTGAACTTCACTTTCCTCTTGCTCTGCTTCTGCCTCTCCGGCCTCTTTCTTAGGGCAGGACTCACCGGACAAGGAGGAGACCGCTGGATTTTCATCAGACTGGTCATCCTGCTCGCTCTTTGCTTTTTGGGTGGTACAGTTGCTGGACTTGCTGTGCACACTGTTGGCAGGGGTGGAGCTCCGAGAGTTCTCTCCTGGGTTTGCCTTCTGAAGGCTTGAGGAGGAGGACATGCTCTTACTCACGGTGCTGTTTTCCTCACAGATGTTATTCTTGCTCCGTTTGGACTGCAGGGATGACTTTGACATGGCACTCCCAACCCTGCTGCTGTCAGCCTCTTCCACGTCATCCTTTAGGCCCTTCACAGAGGAAGCTTCGAAACAGTTTTCCTCTTCATTTTGTGAAATGGTTTTGCTGATCTCTTGGTCTTCTTCGGGGGCGTCTTGAGTATCCAGATTGTTTTCACAGCTGGAATGTGACATTATACCCAGGGATGAAGGTCTCTGGCTATTCCCTGTGCTTGCTGGAGTGTCTCCTTGCCGATCTTCTCCAATGGAAGCACCTGTAGACAAATCACTTCGGCACCTGCACTTTCTGACAGATCGATACGCCACCCTGTTCTCTACAGTCTCTGAGTAGGATGAGGACTCTCTCACAATGTGCTCAGAGAATTCCTCACTGGACGTGGTGGGGAGGCTGTCCATGGAAGTCATTTTCTTGTGGATGACTCTCCTCCGGGAGGACGTGCTGGAGCACGACGACCGCGTGCGCCAGGTGGTCTGTACACTGGGCTCTTCCCTTGGGGATGCGTGCATGGGATTCTTCCAAATGTCATAGTCCTGGTGCTTCTTCCCACAGCTGTGACAGTGAGCCTCGTCACACTCGGATTCCTCAAGTTTTGACATGTAGGAATCGATCTCACAGGGATACAACGAGTCGTCCGCCTCCGAGCTCACTTCTGGGTTCATCTTCTGCAGGGGGTCCACTCCACTGTCCTCCTCCACTCCTGACTCCTCACAAGGCAGCCGGTTCAGCAGGTTGGACTTCTTGATCTGGGTGGACCACTGCAAGGTCTCATCGTTCAGCAGGCGAAAGCGGACCTTCATCTCCACAGACAAGCTCCCATCCTTGTTCACGTGCACCCGCTTCTCTATGTCGTCGTTGACCAGGGACTGGACCAGCTCCCCGGCTTTGGGGTGGGAGCAGCCATTGGAGAAGGGTGCTCCATTGTCTGGTGAGGCAGCAAGACCGTTGGGATAAGATTTTTCCGACGACAAAGAAAATCTCATGGACCTGTTGCTCGATGACGACCGCGGGTGGATAACGCTTTTTTTGGCTTTCAGTCCAAAGTTCACTGGAGGGAAGGAAAGAGAGATGGAGAGAAATGTTAACTCAGATAAAGATGACACAAAATACCTGAGTCAAACCCTCAAACTAGAGAATACTGATGCTATTCCATTAAAACCAAGCCTGTGTCAATTTATGTGATTTGAAAATTTGTCTTTGACTAAGTGATGGCCATAAATCACAGAGTCCCAGAATAATTAGGGTTGGAAGGGACCCCTGGGGATCATCTAATCCAACCTCCTTGTTAAACGTTAAGTTCTGAATTAATCATGTGTATTAAAACCTTCAGTACCCTAACTTCATCATTTTTTAAAATCTAAATTCAAACAGAAACACTTTGTGGTATTAAGTGCATGCCAGGAAGTCAAATAAAAAAATAAATATAGTAATATATAAATACACACACAGAGAGCAATTTAGTCTCAGAGTTTTGGTATTTTATCAGGTTGCAAATACTCCTTTATTTAACTGTTCAAGTTTTCATCCTTCTTATATATATATCTGGACAATCACGTGTCTCCATGGGCATATGGATGCACAGCTGGATGGAGGCATTTTGGGAAGGGAGTGTTGAACAGGAGCACATCAACCAAGACCAATAACACGTGAAATAGCTTTCTCTAATCATCTTTATGCATGTGAACTGATATATTTGCTCAGTCTCTTGATGGACAAAGGTCCAGTTTATTCCCATGTTTCCCCCTCAATTTTTTATGTCTCAGGCAGTGAGTGTGAAATATCTCTGTCCATAAATTTCTACAACCGGTGGCCAACATAGGAGTGAATCTTTCCCAGCTCCTGGTATTGGCAAGGGAGAGGAAACAGGCCCACCTGCAGGGCACATTGAATTTCATCCCACCACAAATCCCTAATACACGTGAGATTATTGCCCTTTGGAAATGGTAAGTTTCCTTCCACAGGCTACAGAGGGTGGCTGGTTTAATTACCTGTGACCTTAGATAACTCACGGTGAAGAATATAATAAGAAATATAATCCTGCATACTCCTTCCTGAAAAAAAGCATTCCATAAAAATATGTTTTGTTCCCAAAAGGGCATCTGTAACTTGCAGGAGAAGCTGAGACTCCTGCTGACAGAACCAGGGCATCCTCTGCTCCTGGTGCAGGGAAGTCCATGAGTACAGGCGTGACACCCCAGACAGACAAGGGGATCGAGGATCCGTGGGAAATCTCAAGGGTATGGGGAGACAGACACAGGAAAGGAGGGAGTTCTGGAAGGAAAAGGAGACCCAGAGATATGAAAGAGGAAGGGAAGTCAGCCAGACATGGAGAGCATATAAGAGAAAGACTTGGGGGGAGGCGTAGGGAGGAAATCCTAGAAGGAAACCAGAGAAAAAGAAGGGGAGGATGGAAAAGCTTGGGAGGGAGGGAGGGAGGGAGGGAGAAGGAAGTGCACTTTCCACATGAAATCTGCACATTGGGGCAGCACAATGGGTGCCTGTAATGCCCACGCTGTGGGACACAGACCTGGAGACACCCAGGGGCTTTGCTTACTTTCGTTGTTCTCGTTGCCGCTGTTGCCGGTGGAGCGGGGAGGCAGGTTGGGCAGCTTCTCCACCGAGTGTTTCCTCAGGTTCTCCATGGACACAGGTTTAAAGGGCTCCCGGCCCACACACACCAGCACGTTGGGGCAGTGGAGAAGGGCCTGCATGCTGTCAATCTGGGAAGGGAAGAGCAAAGGGGATCACCGGGAGCTGATGGAGAAGAGCTGGACTCTTCCAGGCCCAGAATCAGCTGGCTGTTGGTTGGCACCTAAATAAAAGAGCGTTTGGGCAACACTCTCAGGTGTGACTTTTGGGGTTGTTCTGCCCAGGAGTTGGACTCGATGATCCTTGGGGGTCCCTTCCAGCTCAGGATATTCTGTGATTCTGTGAAAATAAATGTGGTTCTGGAGAACTTAAGGGTCTTCCAGAACCTACTGGCAGGCTCTGTTGGAATATTCTTCCATTGAAAGAGAAGCTCTGCTACATTTTAATAAGATTTCCTAAGACACGAAAGGGGTGGGAGAGATTGCCTAAGGGAGAAGAAATCTCATTTATTAAGAGGTTTCCCATATTCTGGGAAAGATTTAGGCATAATCAATGTGGTAGTGAGGGAAAGAGTGAAACTGGAGGCATTTCAGTTTTGCTTACCGAGAATTATGACCTTTAAATTCCTGTAATTCCTGTATGGGACAGCAATTATTACCTGGCAAATGCTACATTCAATTTTGGCCCTTAGCCCTCTTCCATTTTTTTGCTCAGGAAGAGGAACAAGAATTGTGACTAATATTACCCCTAATATTACCTCAAATACTGCCTGAATTATAACCCCATTTATTGCCTCAGTGCTGGACAGTGAGGGACGTTGTCCCTCAGTGAGGGAAGTGCCTGTGAAGGAATCTTTGTTCCTCCCTGAGAACCCAGATTTACACTCTTCACCCTCACCACATGACCCATTTCTGGATTACATGCCAAGTCCTACAGGGGTCACTTTTCATGGAATCATATGATGATAGAAAAGTTTGGGTTGGAAGGGACCTTTTAAATGTCATCTAGTCCAACCCCCCGCAACGAGCAGGAACATCTTCAACCAGAGCAGGTTGCTCAGAGTCCCATCCAACCCATCCTGATACAACATTTACTTCTCTAAAAGAAGAGGAATCAGTCTTGTGATGAGCACTGGTAAGACAGAGTCTGGACCAATCTTAAGTGACAGGACTCAAGGGAATGGCCTGAAGTTCCATCAGGGGAGGTTTAGGTTGGATATCAGGAGAAGGTTTTTGCCCCAGAGGGTGGTTGGGCGCTGAACAGGCTCCCCAGGGCAGTGATCACACCCCAAGGCTGCCAGAGCTGAAGGAGCATTTGGATGATACTCTGAGACACAGGGTGTAACTCTTGGGGGTGGTCCTGTGCAGGGCTAAGGTTGGACTCAACAATACTTGCAGGTCCTTTTCAACTCAGCACGTTCTGTGATTCCATCTGGCTCCTGCAACTTCATATTTGAAAAAGTGAAGTTCAGCTCTCAGCTAAAATACTCAATGCTTTTAAAAGGAGGAGAAGGATCTCTTTCTGTCTGAGAGGACTTCAGAGGGGCCAGCATCTGGCAGCTTTGTGCTGCCAGGCGTCTCTATAATCCAGCTGGGACATCCCCTCCTTCTCGGTCTGTTTCATCAGGAGAACATCTCTAGAGCATATGGGAACCCCCCAGCAAGAGGTGACCACACCAAGCCAGCATTGGTGGTGGGCTCAGCACTACCTTGCCCCCAAAATGCCCCTTGACCTCAATATGTCACTTAATCATCATCTCTTTGATGAGCAGCTGAGGATGGAAGATAAGGAACCTCCGAGGAGCAGCGATGACGGGTCTGCCATTGTCACACGAGCCTGGAATAACAGCACATGAAGGACAGAACTTGGCCTCTAAATCTTGCTACAGCCAAGGAATGAGGAGCCAGACCCACTGGAGAGCCCAAAACCTTGGTTTGTGAAATTCTTTTGGGGTTCTCCAAGATGAGTTGGTACCACCAGGGCTGTGGGGGGTACTGAGAGATTAGTGCTGGTTCTGGAGCAAATAAGAGGAGGGTAAATGTGTGTGGGGTAAAACAGCAAGATAGAGATAAATAAAATCACATTTTAGGTGCATTTAATCACTTCTGTTCATTTTTCTTACAATAAGCCATAAGGCATCTACTTTTAGTGGGAATACACTGAAATCCCATTGTTTTCCTTCATTCTTTATTTACTGTTTGCGCTTTGACAGCACTTGTGACTTAGACATATTGAGTTTGTTTCTATAAAACCCACAGTAAGAGAAGCTCTGCTCCCTAAAACTTGCATTAAACACAATGTGCAAAACAACAAAACTTCTGAGTCCTTGTGATCAGTAACATAAAACTTCAAAATAACCCCAAGATCTCAGTCTGTCTCTCTACTGCTTGTCATTGGTCAGTAAATCCACTTCTGGTCCATCTATTCCTAAAGAAAACATCTTTCTATATTCCTAAAGAAAACATCTTTTTAGCTCACTTCAAAAGCCTATAATTTAATAAACCAAATATTTTGAGTAGGGTTTTGCCACCTGAGTATTTATTTTCCTTCTTTACTTTCCTGGTTTTTTTTTTCTTTTCATTTTTATTCCTTTGGTGAGATCTTTCACCCTGACCCTATAGATATAGGGAAAAAAAAAAAAAAAGAGGGTAAAAAAGAAGAAAGAGAAAAAGGAAAAAGAAGGAGAGGAAAAAAGAAAAATAGACATGAAATCTTTTCTGTTTCTGATGTAAAACAATCTGTCTTGAAAACCCCACTAAGTTTAGATTTGTAGAGGATATTTTTTTAAGTGAAAGCTATTTTTTGCTAGGGATATTTCCTCACATGGATCTGTGTAGATACTTCAATCACACTCATCACCACTGCGTTGTGTGTGCAGAAAATAGATGGTGGCAATGACAGAGCCTCGGGAACCAATGGAGCTGAGCCAGCTGAGTTATTGAATTTATATATATTTATATAGATAGATAGATTGTGGTGGGGTTTTTTTTGTTGTTTTGTTTTGTTTGTGTTTTTTGTTTTGTTGGTTTTTTTGTTTTTGTTTTTGTTTTGGTTTGGGTTTTTTTGTTTGTTTTTGGTTTTTTTGTTGGATTTTTTTTTTTTTTTTTGCACAAGCCAAATCCTTTTCTATAGACAGAACTTGTGTTAAGTCACTTCAAATAGTCTGTCAGGGAGTATTTCTGCCATCACCAGCTCTTTGGCAGTTTTTATACCTATAACATATCTTTCCTTCCTTAATATCTTGCCAGCCCTGATCTCTTTGAATTAATAATTGCAGAAATTCATCTCTGGGGTACTTCATTGTTAAAAGCATTTTGGCAGTGTAAATACAGATGGACGTTTTCTAAGGGTTAAATAAATCATATTTATCCCATTGATTTGGTTTAATGCAACTTCCTCTCTCTCAGGGCAGTGCTGGAGGGTTATAGTTCATCTCAGTTTGCTCAGCATGTTTTTCTCACAGTCATGGGGACATGTCCCTGCCTGGGATATACAGTTGACATCTTCAGGCCACTCGACATGACATCTTTTACTAGTGCTAAATTATCTCCAGGCAGTGTGTGTGCCCTCTTAGGTGTTTAGCAACTTGCAGCTCACTTGGCGTGTCCCAGGGTGAGGCCAATGTGTTGCTTCTCAGATCTCTTTCTTTTTTAAAGTATATATAAAAATTATTTATAGTCTAAAGGCATCAGATCCTGGACCTGCAGCCATGCCAGTGTCCACTGTTGCTCCTGAAGGTGGTGAAGGAAATACTGACCCCATTTCAAGAAGTGGTAGAGTCTCCCCTGGCTTTTCTGGGGTCTGCATCACACTGCTTATTACTAGGAGAGAACTGGGAGCTTTCTTTTCATAATCATCATCATCATCATCATCATCATCATCATCATCATCATCATCATCATCATGGTCTGAGTTGGAAGGAACCTGAAATCTCATCTCATTCCAACCCCCTGCCATGGGCAGGGACACCTTCCACTAGCCCAGGTTGATCCAAGCCCTGTCCAACCTGGCCTTGGACACTTCCAGGGATGGGACAGCCATAGTTTCTCTTGGTAACCTGTGCCAGGACCTCACCACCATCACAGCCAACAATTCCTTCCCAATATCCCATCTCTCCCTGCCCTCTGGCAGTGGGAAGCCATTCCCTTTGTCCTGTCCCTCCATCCCTTGTCCCAAGTCCCTCTCCAGCTCTCCTGAAGGTGCTTTAGGCTCTGGAAGGGGCTCTCAGCTCTCTCTGGAGCCTTCTCTTCTCCAGGTGAACACCCCCAGCTCTCTCAGCCTCCTTTCTCTTGCTGTTGAGCAAGAGAAATGTCCCTGCTCTTCCTCTTGGACATACCAAACACAAGACAAAGAGTTCTTTTGATCTGTGAAACTGTATTTTCAATGCAATTCCTGCCACTGATTTTCATGCTGGGAGAAGAAACTGGACATTAGACATAAACTTGGTGAGAGATAAGACTGCAAGATTTGAAAAAAAAAAAAACCAACACAACAAAACAAACAAACAAACAAACAAACCAGAAACAAACAAACAAAAAACAAACAGTGAAAAGCAGACATAGAAGCTGTTCACATGTCAGAAATACCAGAGCCCTGGAGAAAGAAGTGAAAAATTAGATGGGATTAAAATATGAGAACATAATCTGAGATATCAATGGTAAGAGAGATTAACTCCAGCCAACATGTACACTCAACAGGTACCAGGAAGCCCCATTTGAGCTGAATATTGAACATCCCAGACATTACTCAAAGCTCCACTGGGAAGGCCACCGTGTGTGGGGTGAAAATAAAAGAACATCCCCTCTTCTGCCATATGTTGGGTTTTTTTTTCAGTCTGGCTGCTGTCCATTCAGGATGGGTTGTCTCCAGGAACATTACTGTGCAGAATCTGCCACAAAGGGACTGTGATCTCAGCAAGGACCTCCAGGTGCTACTGCAGCACAATTAATAATACAGTGTCATCAATACCTAAACAGAAACGGGGCAAAAATAGCATCTCTAAAACAAGGAAGCTGTTTGACATGGAGAACGTGCCATCCTCTGGCTCTTCCCAGAGAAAAAAAGAACCATTGTAAGCCTTGCTCACCTCAGAAGGTGAATGTGGATACGAATTTCTGATGAAGGCAAAATG